ATATATATATATATATATATATATATATATATATATATATAAAGCACAGTAAAGTTCTAACTCTCAGGCATAATATAGTAATAATTAAATAAGTAGAGTAAGATTGAACACAGTTTTAATAGGCTAGCGCTTTATATATACATATATATGATAAGATAAAGGGATGTGATGATGTGGGTGTGGACGTGTAGAGCAGTTGATCATGATCTATAAAACGTTCAATGTGGATTTGGATGTGGACGTACAGCTTAATGTGGATATATGGATGTGGTGATGTGTGCATGTGGGTGTGGACGTGTACAGCAGTTGATCATGATCTATAACTCGTTCAATGTGGATTTGGATGTGGACGTACAGCTTAATGTGGATATATGGATGTGGTGATGTGTGCATGTGGGTGTGGACGTGTACAGCAGTTGATCATGATCTATAACTCGTTCAATGTGGATATGGATGTGGACGTACAGCTTAATGTGGATATATGGATGTGGTGATGTGTGCATGTGGGTGTGGACTTGTAGAGCAGTTGATCATGATCTATAACTCGTTCAATGTGCATTTGGATGTGGATGTACAGCTGGATGTGGATATAGGGATGTGTGCATGTGGGTGTGGACGTGTACAGCAGTTGATCATGATCTATAACTCGTTCAATGTGGATTTGGATGTGGATGTACAGCTGAATGTGGATATATGGATGTAATGATGTGTGCATGTTGGTGTGGACGTGAGGATTTGTATGTGAGGTGAGATTAGCTAAAATTGGGCTTAACGTTAAGGGCAAGATTGCTTTGTTTATGTGTGTTTGGCTGCTTGTACTAGTTCAGACACTGTGACAGCATGCTACGGTTTAACATGGATACCCAACTCAGATCCTACTGACTCCGAGACGACCGGTCATTGTTTTGTCCACTTAATGTCAGTTCAAAACCATCTTTTAACGTCTTTTGGTATGGCGCGACCAGGGAATCGAGCAACCGACCCTCTGCTCTCAGTGCACACGCCCTATCACAACATGGAGGAGGTGATGTGGCTGTGAAACCGTTAATGTGGATGTGAAGTTCTTGATACAGATGTAGATGTGGAGATGTGAAAACAGTGAGGGGATGGATGTGAATTTGAAGTTGGTGGAGTTGATGTGGATGTGGATATGAAACAGTGGATGTCGGCGTGGACGGGAACATGGACGTGTAAGTTGTTATGGACGTGGATGTGTAAGTTGTTATGAACGTGGGCGTGTAAGTTGTTATGGACGTGGACGTGTAAGTTGTTATGGACGTGGACGTGTAAGTTGTTATGGACGTGGACGTGTAAGTTGTTATGAACGTGGGCGTGTAAGTTGTTATTGACGTGGACGTGTAAGTTGTTATGGACGTGGACGTGTAAGTTGTTATTGACGTGGACGTGTAAGTTGTTATTGACGTGGACGTGTAAGTTGTTATGGACGTGGACGTGTAAGTTGTTATGGACGTGGACGTGTAAGTTGTTATGGATGTGGATGTGTACGTGGACTAGAGCATATGAATATGAATGGGGATGTCAATATGGAACTGTGATTGTGGATGTTAATGTATATGATGAAGTGGAATTGGATCTGGGTGTGAGTACAGACGTCTTTGCTGCGATGTGGATGTGAGGATATTGATTTGGAGTTGTGAGTTTTGATGTGAATTCGTAGATATGGAGCCATATGTTTAAGTGGATGTGTGTCTAGTTCACGTCTCGACATCTTCTAACTTATGGCACAGTTAGCGGTGGTGGCAGACCTGGAGATATTGCTGAAGTAATATGTGTTCAACGTCATTCTGTTTACGTCACTGTTCTTTCTTGTTTCAACTATCAACGTTCTCTCAATCGTCATTCATGCCGTTTCCATTTGCCTGGTATTGGAGATTATATTTTCTTATTTCTGACTTTCTCACTCACTTCGTTTTCTACGACACTCAGACTTTCGTGGCGGCGGATAACAACGTGTATCCCATTTATTCAAACACAATCGTTAATCTAAACAGCCTTATCAGTTGTTAGTCCAGATATCTGAACATGACTCGATATATTGAAAATAGGGTGATTAGTCAGTTTTTCTAGCATGCTTAATGTGAAAGGACAAGAATGTATGTGAAGTATGTTTTGTACCACAAGTTCTTTGCATATAATGAACAATAGATAATCAACACGCATCCGTTCAACATAAGTACAAAAAATACATCAATTTCTGCGAACAAAGCAATCAATTCGTTGCCTCCTTCACGCCTGATGGAAGATGCGCTAATCGATAGGGATGAAAAACAAGACTTTTGTTACAACTAGGATATTGTTTTGGTTACTGTTTCAAGCATTGTATAAATTTTCTTTCTTACAAACTTTTTAAGACACGTGCGGGGCGAACAATTAACTTAACTTATTAATCCCGAGGCAATATTAAAAAACAAAAAAAAACTCCTACTCCCCGTTCATTTCTTAAATAAATACACGACAGACTAACTTTCGGTGACAGTAACACAGAAGGATGAATTGAACGTATACACTACAAACTGGCCAGAAACTAAAACAGTCGGTTTGTGGCAAAAGGCAAAAAAAGTTTTAAAAACATAATACAATGAACCGAATGAAAATTTTGTACTTGGAACGCAATAAAACAAACTTAATTTGTAATTCAAATTAAATTGTTAATTGACCAAGAGGTGACAAGTCATCATATCATTATATAAATATTTTGATGTAATATGTTTTTTCATTAGTGGTCAGTTATACAGACAGTTAAAGAGGTTCTGTTAAAATATCACGTATTCAATATAAAAAATAGGAAAACAAGGTGAAAAAAATGTCAACATGTATTCACACTATGCAATTCTCGCATCAATGATCAAGTCTTTATTGTATCAATCGCGTCAACAATTAAGCTTAATACTGTGCCCTGCTTTATCGCCATTGATCATCCTATACCACAATGACCCCTGTCTCCATGTTGAGTATTCTCGAAAAACAGTTCAAGGGAGGTCAATAGGAAGCCCCACTGTAGTCGTCGGTATTATTACCAAACACAAGGCACCGAGAACAATGGGGAGTCGGACAACTTGGTATTTTGGATGCAAGCGTGACATTTCGAAAGAGAGGTTCGCATATTTTCCATGCCTTTCCTGAATCTTGTCAATCACATTGGTGTCAAAAGGGACAGAAAATTCAAAGATATCAATGATTTCACTGGATTTATAAAAAAAGGACAAGATCCGATTTGTTGGGATGGATATGTCCAAGGCTGTAAACTGGCCTATTCCAAAGAATTTTGAATAAATTCACAAAATAAGCATTGACATGAAGAGGCCTTCACGTTAATCAAATGCGCTTTGAGCATGATATTCAGTATCGAAAAGTGAAAATTATTGTATTATTATTATGGACAGATTAAAATAAAAAATGCAGGAAAGAGGGTTTGGGTGATCCTGGTACAGTCAGGCTGGTTATAGGCTCATCATCAGCTTAAGGCCCTCGTCCCCTCTACACGCAGCCCAGACAGCGAATGGGACTTCTCACAGGACTTCTCACCCAGATTGTCAGAAGGGCTGTATTCCTGGAAGCAAACCCGGGTACTCTCCCAATGTCAGTCAACAGATTGGGAGGTACCAAACCTAAGGCACCAAGAACAATGGGGAGTCGGACAACTTGGTACTTGGGATGCAAGCGTGACATGTCGATAGCAAGGTCTGCATATTTGCCATGTATTTCCTAAATCTTGTTAATCACATTAGTTTGTTTGTTTGTTTGTTGTTAACGCCGTTTAAGGTTTGTTGTTGGACCTCTGTGTCAAAACCACAATCATTGCGAAGACGGATATAAAATGATCGAGCTACACCATCATGTCGCTTAAGATACTGTGTTTGTGCCCAAGCTGGGCATCCACTGACAATTAAATCCATTGCATAACCTACACTTCATATTTACATTTTAATGCAAAATCACACATTGACGGAGAATGGTGGGAAGTGACTGAGCAGCAAACAGAAAGCCTTCTGTTCCACTTGCAGGCCAGCCGACTTCATCTAAGCGAAGGAGTATACAGGGTTGCTGTTCCTCCTAACACACTTCGGACCGCCTCCGTGGTCTTGTGGTAGAGCGTCCGCCCGGAGAGCGGAAGGTCCAGGGTTCGATCCCGGGCCGCGTCATACAAAAAGACGTTAAAAGATTGTACTTGTTGTTACCCTGTCTGGCGCTCGGCATTAAGGGGCTAAAACAAGGACTGGTCGGCTCGGAGTCAGTATACTGTGTCTGAGTGGGGTATTCATGTTAAACTGCGGCATGGTATCTCAGTGAGCTAGCACTATAAATCGGCATCAGTCCGGACTAGTACAAGCAGCCACACACACATACACGTGCATGCACGTCGCTATATAAGTGCAATAATCTTGGACGCGACGTTAAACCCAATTTCACCTCACCTCACCTAACACACTTCACATAAACTCGATGCAATGGTCGTTCAGATAGCCTGTCCTTGAAAAACTGAGTTACTCTCCCCCCCCCCCCCCCCCCCCCCCTCCCCCTCCCTCTCTACAGTTACAGGGGTAGGATAATTTTAGGTGGGAAGCCATACATTCACACCGTATGTGACAAATAATTAGCTTCAAACGGAGATCGAACCATGTGACTTGAAATTCCTATGCAGTAAGAATGCGTTTTCCGAAACCTGTAGTGACATGATCCAAACTGGAATTACTTGAACATTTAGGCTTTAACATCTAATGTGTGTTTTCCGAAACCAGGGGTTATTTAATAAGACCATACGAAAGACTGTATAAATGCTAAGTAAGCTTAAGCCATAACGGAATTTAGGTTCAGGGCTTTTGTTTTCTGTATAGCCAAATGTTGACTGTAAAAAAGGACCTCCATATATGTCAAAGCGGATAATCCAATACGTAGAAGTATAACTTAGAGACCTATGTCACTGTTTGCAGCTATATTAAGTTTCTTGTGTCCTTGATTGCCTGCTACTGGTTGATGACAGAAAATGCATTACTGCTCCGCTGGGCGAAAGTGTCTATTGTGTGGTTGCTGTCTGAAGGGTAAAGATGGGTTCATTGCAAAGTTGGTTCCTGTTTTGTATTGTCCATACAACTATGGTAAAATACGGTGAGTATTATACTTAGCATATTATGTTTTATGTACAATTTATGTGGAAAACTACAATGTATGTATTTAATGAAAGCACGAGGTAGGGTAAGGGCAACTGTTGGCTCACCAGAAATGCCATTGCTTGTATTAACAGAACACTTTGGTATGACAATTACCAGATACGATCATATGGTTGACAACCAACCTTTTTTCATACACTATCAAGTTTTGTTATTTTGGCATGTTCAAGTACACATGAATGACACAAATGGGCACACGATTTATTTTTCAGCTTAAAAAAGCCCTATGTATGAGCAATTCTGTGATATAAGATGTCATTCATTGAATGTCGGATGTCTTCTACATCTCGTAATTAGAAACGCTTCTGTGGTCTAGTGGTAGAGTGTCCGCCTCGAGAGTGGAAAGTCTGGGGTTCGATCCCCGGCTGCGTCATACCAAAAGACGTCAAAAGATGGAACTTGTTGTTACCCTGTCTGGCTCTCGACATTAAGGGGCTAAAACAAGAACTGGTCGGCTCGGAGACAGTACACTGTGTCTTAGTGGGGTACTCATGTTAAACAGCGACATGGTATCTCAGTATGCTAACACTGTAAATCGGCATCATATTTAAGTGTAATAATCTTGGACGCGATGTTAAACCCCATTTCACCTCACCTCACATCTAGTAGGATAGTCAGCTTGGTCCAAAGACTTGCTCATAGGTCCTGTGGTCAAAACGGGTCCTTACTTTTCCCTTCATATGGTGTTCCGTTTATACCTTGATGTAGGAATCTTCGAATAACTGGAGTGTAATCCCTGCATTCTAATACGATAAATACCAAGGACCATTTGGTTCCATGGGTTCGTTTTAAGCCCGAATCAAACAGCGTTAAATTAGCCCTCCTGTCAAATCACACACTGAGGAAAGGAACATCTGTGTTAAGTAGGTGATAATGAGACGGTGCCGTCACTTCAGAAAACAGCACTGGTGAATGGGTTCCAGGTATTTATCATAACAGAATTGAGATGTAACTAATCTATGATGATGTCACTCGATAACTTATGTTTTGCTTATATCCAAAGCCTTTGTCACGAACAGAAACACAAATTTAGATTTACATTACGTTAAATATTTGGATGATGTTGCCATGTCCTTCGTTCTAATGTTTTTTTAGCAGATGTCACGTAAAATAATGCGATGAGATTCAATAAGGTGTTTGTGGGGAGAGACATAGAACTAGATACTAAGAAGCACATTTAACACCGCTTTGGACAAGTTAATATCACAGAATGTCAGCTTGTGGGAGGAAAGTAATGCAGATCTCAGACGTACGAGTAGGGGTATGATGCTAACCAACCTTGGAACATAATCGGTGCGATCATGGTTTCTGGCACGCCTAAATTGAATTGCGCCTTAAACGAAATTGTCCCCGTGTCCCTGGCCATACCAGACCTCAACAGCAGTAGTGTTTTGTCCCTCAGCATCAAGCTGACACAGCGTGAGATGACGGATATACTGTTTAAAGCGACATAAAACAAACAGTTTCTGAGAGATGAGTCAGACATTTGTTTTGTTTTTTGTTTGTTTATTTGTAGTTTAATGCCGCACGCTGCAATATTCCAGCTATATGACATCTTCCCGAGGCAAGAGAGTTAACTGACTTTAACAGTCCAGTTTCCACCCTTGACGCACTAGGCTGGAATTACTGGGCTCGATCGTTGCGCCACCAGTGGCCCTTACCAGTCATGTCCCTTCTAAGCCTCTCCTATGGACCAATCAGATTCCACCTCTCGTATCACTTGCGTTTGCTTCACACAAAATGGTGGCGCCCGGTCAGTTAGATCTGATCGACAATCACGATCTATATTCTGATAAAACGGGTCTTACATCGCGAAATGCATCAGATCACGTGAGCACCTTGATTAGAAACATGAAAACATTTGGAAAATAACTGCTGACAACGAGTTGGCGGTGAACATACTTTGCAAATCCTGCCATCGACCGAAATCTGCACGACAGTGTACGAACCGGATTTCGATTTCGGTGCGCCATTTTGATTGGACTATGCATAGACTCGTTAGTCCACCCAAAATGTAACTCCACAATACTAGCCTAATTCGGCAAGGGTGGAAACTGGACTTTTATAGTCAGTTAACTCTCTTGCCTCGGGAAGATGGCTATATGACGGCAGTCTGTAAATAATCGAGCCTTGACCAGACAATCCAGTGATTGACATCATGAGCATTGATCCACGCAATTGGGATACGATGACACGCTTCAACCAAGTCAGCGAGCCAAACCACCCGTTCCCGTTAGTCGCCTCTTACGACAAGTATAGTCACCTTTTATAGCAAGCTTGGGTTTCTGAAGGCCTAGTCTACCCCTGATCTTCACATTTGTTTTGAGAGATAGAAACCAACATGATTCAAATTGTCGGTACCTAAGTCACTCTTTTGTACCTTTACTTGGAAAACCAGGATGAAAGAGCTGTAGTTTTCAATAGTTAATCAATGTCCTCACGTGTCGATCGGTTTTCGTCCTTAGATTAGCAAAAGGTCAGCATTGATTTTCACAACATATGTGGGAGCGTCACTCCAAGTTGTCGATCTCCGTTTGATTAAATTTCGGATGTCTTCAATCGAAGATCAAGGTAACTAGGAGGTAGATAATAGAATGAAGTGCTAACCTTCAAATATTCATTTTATTTCTTCACAATCAATGATGACCCGACTATTGACCCTCTGACATTGAGAACAAGTAAACCGTGAAGATTCGGGTTAAAACAGGTCTTCAGGTTCTACTACACCAAATCAGAACCAGTTTGGACAGTGCGGTGTTCGTAGGAAGCCTTCAGTGCAGATCGAGAGATATCTGCAGGCTGTGATTGGAGAATATTCTATAAGATTTTTATGTCTTTCATATGTACATCCATTCAGTTAATAAAACTGACCATGTTTTTCTATATTTAGTACTGTCTTTTTCAACATGATGACTTATGCTGAATGTGACCACAGCTATTTTCAAGTAGGTGACATTTGGTGCGAAATTGGGGGTGGTGTGTTTAGTTTCCTGTACTCGGAAAAGGAGCTGGCTAAGCTAGTCATTTTTTATTTTTTTATTGCTGCTCTAAGGCCAAACTGTGCACACACGTACAGGTAATAGCTGTTGAATGCTTAGTTATTTAAAAATATATATAACGTTACTATAGAAGTCTATGGGAAAACATTTGGTCCTGTGTAACCTTCAGTAACCCAGCAGCCTATTCGTAAGAGGCGACTAACGGGATCGGTTGGCCAGGCACGCTGACTTGGTGGATGCACGTCATCAAATAAGAGGTATCTTCTCTCAAGTGGGACTACATTAAATTTACAAAAAAGATTAGGTTTATCTCCTAAACATACGTGATGTCCATCTTTGTCTTTTTTTATTTCACAAAACCATAAGTCCCAAACGAAACATGATGAATAAATTAGTTGTTTGTTGTTTATGTCCGCACTTGGCAATCTTCAAGCCACAGTGGCATGTTAACAAATCAATGACTGATATTATGAGCAATATCCCAACCCGCTGGGTGCGATAACACGTAATCTGCCAATCTTGGAAAAATGATCCATCATCAAAAGTAAAAACCATCTTCCCGAAGCACGGAAGTTAACTATTTTAAAAGTTCAGTTCCCACCCTTGCCGAACTCAGTTGGAATTATGGAGTTATATTTTGGCTGGACTATCGAGTAAATACATTGTATAATCAAAATCCCGTAACGATATCGACATCCGGTTCAAGTACCATCAACTGGGCGTCGACAGATATTTTTCATATCTTTCCCTCTTTTTAATCAAGATGCTCAAGTGCACTTCGCGAGGTAAATCCCGTTTTATGACGATACAGATCTTCATTATCGATGAGATCGTCTTGTCTGGGCGCCGCCATTTTGTTTGGTCTGTGGTCTGAGGCCTAGCCATATGAGAGGGGAAACCGATTACTCAGAACTAGGGAGGACAGCGTAAACAAGTCATGCACATGCAGTTCGAAAATCCCTTGAAAAGTTTCTCATATTTGCATTGTAATTTATTTGTGCCTAATTCCTATGTAAAACACGCAGTCTGTTGTTAAACATGCCAGGAGTGGAGAATATGGAGCACCACACATATTTTAAACACACGAGTTTGTGAGTATCAACAGAAATCATTATCTTCGACCAAGCAAAACCTTAATGTATTGTTTGCACATACAATACATGAGAAAATCCATGTTCTGGTACCAGTTTGAAGGCACACATTAACATTGATCTCCCATATAAATCTATATAAATAATCATATAAATAAAGTTTTCAAATTGACAAGCAGCAGCGAATAGATAGCCATGCACAGTAGGCTCTGCAATTGATGTTTCACTGACAATAACAAAAACTGCCGGGCAAAAGAAAAAGTGCATGGTGGCTAAAAACGAAACAAACAAGAAATGGTTATTCGATAGTGATGTGTTTGATACGGTCATCATAGTTGTGTTTTGGACCTTACTTTTGCATTGTTTCGGCGACTGTTTTCAGTCCAGTAACGTTTGATAATCTTTTGGTAAGATCACATTTTCAATTGAATACATTCCTTTGCCCGGAAGTGTAAGATTAAGCGTTATTGATAAACTGACCATCACGGAATTCAACACAGATGAAGTTTTAGAAAATAAAATACATAGTAAGTAAGGATAAGATATATGGATGAACAACTTCTTTATTTCAATTAATTAGGAGCGACGTTTCGGTGGAGGTTCTGACACCTTTACCAAGCAAGTGAGTCAACTATGATTGACAAACTTATACAGGTATGAGGCGGTATTTATACAGTTGAGTAGATGGGTGATATAAGGTAAACCTTCATAACAGGTGAAGCCATTAGTATAAGCAAAAAGGATTATGGCCGATTGGAGTCTTTGATGAGTTGATGGTACGCAGGGGGATGGTAACAGCCTTCATCGCGGTTGGCTGATGATTGGAGTCTTTGATGAGTTGATGGTACGCAGGGGGAATGTAACAGTCTTCATCGTTGTTGGCTGATGGTTGGAGTCTTTGATGAGTTGATGGTACGCAGGGGGAATGTAACAGCCTTCATAACGGTTGGCTGGTGGTAGGAGTCTTTGATGAGTTGATGGTAACCAGCGGGTATGTCACAGCCTTCATAACGGTTGGCTGATGGTTGGAGTCTTTGATGAGATGATGGTAGGCAGCGCGTATGTAACAGCCTTCATAACGGTTGGCTGATGGTTGGAGTCTTTGATGAGTTGATGGTACGCAGGGGGAATGTAACAGCCTTCATAACGGTTGGCTGGTGGTAGGAGTCTTTGATGAGTTGATGGTAACCAGCGGGTATGTCACAGCCTTCATAACGGTTGGCTGATGGTTGGAGTCTTTGATGAGTTGATGGTACGCAGGAGGTATGTAACAGCCTTCATTGCGGTTGGCTGATGGTTGGAGTCTTTGATGAGTTGATGGAACACAGGGGGTATGTAACAGCCTTCATTGCGGTTGGCTGATGGTTTGAGTCTTTGATGAGTTGATTGTACTCGAGGGAATGTAACAGCCTTCATAACGGTTGGCTGATGATTGGAGTCTTTGATGAATTGATTGTTCGCAGAGGGAATGTAACAGCCTTCATTGCGGTTGGCTGATGGTTGGAGTCTTATCATGTTGATACCTGCTTGGAGTTTGTTCAATTTTGAAGTCGTTCAGGTGGGTTGTAAGGGCTTTGAGGCCGTGGGTTTGCTGATATATGCCATCTCTCCAAGTGAAGTATGTGGAACTGATACTCTAAGTTGACTCCAAGTCATCTCCATCATCTCATTACGGGTCACGTCAGGACGACCTTTCATTCGACCAATCAGAGCGTCGCTTACCACATCGGGAAGGACATTGAACTCATCGTCAGAACTTCACTGGTTTGTATGCAATAGTACCTCCATTAACCGTGAATACATTATTACGAAATACGGTGTACCTGGGGGACGCGGAAATGAAATGAAGCTGTGTTTTCCTCTTGTTGGCATCAGGTCGTGGCTTGATTCGTTGGTTAGAATAATGACTACACCCCAAAGCAGCCGTATGTTTTCACGGGTGATTCTGGAATGTAGTACACAACACCGTGAAGTATTGTCGATGTTTTCAACTTTACAGGCGGCCTATTGGACCATTTAGCTTTGTCATGGGTTTGAATCCAAGATTTGGCTTGTGAGTGCACCCTTTATTTCACAGTAAACATAATCAGGCTTGGCCACTTTAAGCTTTCCTTCCACCCGAACCATGTTCGAGTGACCGAGTGAGTATGGTTTTACGCCGCTTTTAGCAATATTCCAGCAATATAACGGCGGGGGACACACAAAAAAAGGCTTCACACATTGTGCCCATGTCGGGAACCGAACCCGGGTCTTGGGCGTGACGAGCGAACGCTTTAACCACTAGGCTACCCCGGGGTTACTCTAATCTGAAATGGTCTTGACGGTTACCTATTCTAACATTGGTCGTGTTTGTTCTCAGTCTACACCTTCTCGAACGTGGCGCTCCACAAGCCAGCCAGTCAGGACTCCTACCGGGAGATCTACCCACCATCTCACGCTGTGGATGGAAACAAAACTACATTTCTTCACTCAGATACAGTGGTGGCAGTCCGCTATCATTGGTGGGAAGTGGATCTCCTTAACTCCTACACCATACCTAGTGTCACCATCACCAGCAGAGATTGTTGCGGTTAGTAGTCAAACATAATTTTCTATAATAAACTGCTGTTCGGTATCTGGAAAGAATAAAAGAGACAATCTTATTGGAATCTTTACTCTTTGAGCGATGATCTGACAACCTATTATAGGAGATCGCATGAAATCACTAAATCTGTGTCGAAGTTTCTGAATGTTTGGTACGAATGAGCGAAGCATTCTGACCAGTCTATCTGATTTCGGCATCTCGAAAACGAACTTAAACGGCCAGTTCCAAATGCAAATGATAAATACTAACATACTGTCGTTTTTTCTTTATACAATCTGTCGTTGATACTTGATACGTTTCTTGGGAGATGGTATAGCCTTGTGGTTAATGCGTTCACTCATCACGCCAAACGCCCGGGTTCGACTCCCCACATGGGTACAAGGTGTGAAGCGTATTTACGGTGTTCCTCGCCGTGATATTGATGGAATATTGCAGAAAGCGGTGTTAAACCATACTGACTGCCGTTTCTGAGCCGCATGGCTTCCACACTCAAAAGTGAGTACCATCAATGGAATATTTGTGTTTTGTGTCTTGTTTTGTTGAAATTGAAAAGGCCGAATCCAGAAATTGAAAACTGGAAAAATAATCAGGGCGAATCTGAGAATTGAAGCCATTTTTTATTACTTAAAGAAGCATTGGCAGTAAAGGTTTGAACCAAAATATAGTATCTATACATTCTTTTGAAACATGTGGGTATTTCATCTGTTGTGCGTTGTTTCCTTGATCAGTACCTCTTCTCGAGAAAATCGGTTCAGCAACTTCACAACTGTTCTATGATACAGCTGAAACATTGCATCGGCGTAAAAGAAGAAAGAATGAAAGAGGATACTTCAATTTTTCTTGTGTAAATCATTATTTCTTCTCCAGATAGCCGATTCCGTAACTTTACAATTGACCTCACGTCTGAAGTCCTGCCCTCAGCACAAGTCACGCGACTTTGTCACTACTACCCGGGGAGTTTCACCCAATTCGCCACCCATACCATAGCATGTGATGAGACATTTACAGCACGAAAGGTCAAGGTCACTATGGATTCATCTGACGGACGACCTCTTGATATAAGCGAGGTCAAGGTTAAAGGTCTTCACGTGTGTGGAAGTAAGTAATGATTTATCTATAAATATGTGGTCGCTGGTGGCACGTGGTCCCATGTACAGCGCACAAGTCGCAAATCAGGCGAAGTTCAGTGACGATGTACAGATGTACAGATTAAAATAAAAAATGCAGCAAAGAGGGTTTGGGGGATCCTGGCACAGTCGGGCTGGTTAGGCTCATCGTCAGCTCAATACCCTTGACCCCTCTACGCGGGGCCAACACAGCGAATTTGACGAATTCTCCCAAGGAAGCGCTTCCTTGTCAAACCAATTGAGAACTGTTCGGAGAATGTGAAGACTCCCCAACACTGCAGCCTTCTGTATTACCCTGATTGTCAGAATTGCTGTATTCCTGGCAACAAAACAGAATCACACAATGACGGTTTTGAGTGGGAAGTGACGGGGGCACGGGTGGCCCAGTCGTCTAAGGTGCCGCGATTCGCTGTGCAGAGTTGCGTCCCTTGGGCACGCCAGAAACCTATGATTGTGGGTTCGAATCCCGATTCGCCCAGATTATGTTTCTAGGTTTGTCAGCACCATACCCGTGCTTATGGGTTTCACCGAAGTGGTAAACGTCTGAGACCTGCATCACTTCGGGCTTTCCTCCCACATTAAGCTGACAATGATGTACGGTGATGTAACTGGAATACTGTTAAAAGCGGCGTTAAACCCAACTCACTCACTCACACTCATCCAAGCGAAGGACTGGGCCCATTTGATACGACGTTTCGCTTGGTTGACACTCATTTCTCTACCGTCCAGCAGTACAGAACCATCAACAAACATAACACTGACATTGAGATGATGTTTCTCATACTTGGCTCGTTAAAGAAAACTGTGGAATGCCTTGTTTTCATCATGAGTCTTGACATGCTTCTCAAGAGAATCATCAGATAAATAAATGTGTGCAAACGAGCGAGGGTGGTGGGATCTGTTGTCTGACATGATTATTCATGTGAGGGTGCCCTGAATTTCTTGGTTCGTCCAATCAACAACACCAAGCGAGCATTAAACTCTGAAAGTGGGATACGATGATCATGACATGCATCAACCAAGTCAACGAGCCTGACCACCCGATCCCGTTAGTCGCTTTGTACGACAAGCATGGGTTGCTGAAGACCTATTCTACCCCGGATCTTCACGGGTCTAGGATTAGAAACCTTTTTGTATACTTCACGGCTTGTATACACCACGTTCCTCCATCACCCGTGAGTTCACACGGCCGCTTTGCAATGTAGTCGCAAGTTTTAACCACCGAATCAAGCCTCGGCCTGTTTCCGGCGAGAGGGAAACCAGGGTTTACACTGACCAATGAGCACTCACGTTACATTGGCATTTCTCGTGCATGTGCCATAGTTTTCCTGCAATCTCCATACATTGTGTCATTATCATGATCAGGCAGCGGTGGGTTTTGCTCAAGGTTTATGTACGAGTAGTGGCGGTCGGGTAGCCTAGTGGTTAAAGCGTTCGCTCGTCACGCCGAAGACCCGGGTTCGATTCCCGACATGGGTACAATGTGTGAAGCCCATTTCTGGTGTCCCCCGCCGTGATATTGCTGGAATATTGCTAAAAGCGGCGTAAAACCATACTCACTCACACATGTACGAGTAGGATTCTTTTAACTTCCGTGAATTACACACGCCCTCATTTCATTGCCTGACAATACACGCGTCATTATGACACTGCGGCCGTGTGCATTCACGGGTGAATTATTCGCCCGTGAAGTATTTATGATGTATTATTTAGGAAAACAGATAAACAACAAATTCAAACTACAAACTATATTTTGTGATATAATTTCAAACTTTTACACCGTCTCTAGATTACTGGCTGCAATTTACATTGAATGCTGGACTGAAACGCTCCGAGGTGCCGCTTGACCAGACCGTCGTCGAGTCTACACGAGCATGTGCCCAGCGGTGCCGGGAAGACATAGATTGTGACGCTTTTCAGACGTTGACGTCAGCTAGTAGTGTGACGTGTCAACTTTTTATTGGTAGATCTGGTGATACTATCAGTGACACTAACTGGAAGTATTACAGTTTTTCAGGATGAAAGATAAATGTTGAGAGGTCATTCGTTATGTTGCTGAGTTATGACATTGGGAAATATCTGTAGAATGTCAAGACAATGGGCCAATATGCTACCACGCACTTGCACCAGGTATTTTGTTCCGTTGTTAAGAGATGGCGCTCTGCGACACGTTGAACACCCTGGCTACTGCCACTGTGATTCACCGCCTCTGTGTCTAGCGTCAGAGCGTCAGCCCGGAGAACGAAAGGTTCTGGGTAAGATCCCCGGCTGCGTCATACCAAAAGACGTTAAAAGATGGTACTTGTTGTTACCCTGTCTGGCGCTCGGCATTAAGGGGCTAAAACAAGGACTGGTCGGCTCGGAGTCAGTATACTGTGTCTGAGTGGGGTATTCGTGTTAAACTGCGGCATGGTATCTCAGTGTGCTAGCACTATAAATCGTCATCAGTCCGGACTAGTACAAGCAGCCACACACACACACGCTATATAAGTGCAATAATCTTGGACTCGACGTTAAACCCCATTTCACATCACCTCACCAACTGTGATTCTCGTCCTGTAACTTTCCGTTGTGCTTCTGACTCAGTTAGTCGTGGCATGACTCCGTAGTTGTAAACAATTGGCAACAGACACTGTTTGGCTACCGCGAACCCCCAATTCGTAAGGCTATTAATGGCATTTAACGATGTCATTCATTTATCGAGTATTTCAACAGCACCTGTTCGTTTTGTTGTTGTTGTTGTTGTTGTTGTTGTTGTTGTTGTTGTTGGTAATGTCAAGTATAATGTTTAAAGCGGCAATAAAATATGAAGATCTTCTCGTCACCTACTGATGTCATACCTTCACTGTAACAAGAACAGTGTACAATATATCCCCTGGCACCGAATAAAAGTGACAAACGCTGTGAATTCTACGATACCAAATATGTTGTAGTTTATCCTGGGGGCTAGTTGGTCACAATGTCGTATTTGCGAGGATGCTTTTCATGAAGTATATTTTAGGCCATTGTACAGTATCACAACGTGTATGATACAAGTATTAAAAATGAAGTAATTGTTTTTTTGGTTTAGCTCATGAGGCCTTTCCATCCAATTGGGCGTATGAAATGAATTGTTGGAAATCTTTATGTCATCTGTCCGTCCTCCGTCAGTCAATAGAATCTTCTCTCACTGCTGAATGAACTGATTTACAACAGAGCCTAATGTTTCAACACAACACAAAGTTTTTAATACAAAATGACTGGTGAGTGATAGTTTTGCAGAAATATATGTTCTAAGCCCATTCGTGAGCAAATGGCAATGAATACAAATTGGGACATTAAACAAATCAATTCATCTCATTCAGAGCTTTCCAATGAAAAGAGGGGGACACGGGTGGCCCAGTCGCCTAAAGCGCCGCGATTCGCTGTGCTGAGTTGCGTCCCTTGGGCACGCCAGAAACCTATGATTGTGGGTTCGAAACCCGGGGTCGCCCCGATTATGTTTCTAGGTTTGTCAGCACCATAGCCGTGCTCGTGGGTTTTCACCGAAGTGGTAAACGTCTGAGACCTGCATCACCGCGGGCTTTCCTCCCACATTAAGTTGACACGCCGTGATATTAGTGTTATACTGTTAAAAGCGGCGTTAAACCCAACTCACCCAATCATATGAAGTTTGTTCATGTACATACAACTCGATCCCTTCTGTCTGGTCAAGGTCGGACTGCTGACCATTCCTAAGCTGCCCGTTTTAAGTTGTTGAAAGGTACAAATTAAAATGATTCGTGAGTGAATGCCTCGATTTGACATTTCCGAGGATGATAACGCTCTAATTAAACACACGGGTGGCCCAGTCTAAACCTACGCAAATCGCGAGTTTCGTTTCTTAGGCGTGCAGAGACCTGTGATCGCTCTGGTTATGATTCTAGATTTGTCAGCACCATACTGGTTCTCGTGGTTTTAACCAACGTGATGAACGTATACCGAATCTAGCTGAAATGCCGGACAGATCTCGTGTTTTGTATATTATGTTGTTCTATTCATATGAAAGCAGGGACTTTTTTCCCTTCTATAGTAATGTACTGGCAGACCTGAAATCATAATCTCGGCGAATCTGGAATTCTATATTATTATTTTTAATATATTTAGTATTTGTGAGGATTCCTCAAAAGGTGTTATATTGTTGGGTTTTATTTATTTACCTATAAAGCGCTGTCAACAATGTAGCTTGTAACCTCAGTAATTTACGTTCAAATCGGTAAATGTATTGCTTCTTGAAATGTCTTTAAGATGGGATATGTATGTTGTTTGTGATTATGGGATTAAAGTAAAACAAACACATTTGTATGAGTCAGATAATATTTATTCCTTTGTTTGTTTGTTATTTTACGCCACACTCAGCCATATTCCAGCTATACGACGACGGTCTGTAACTAATCGAGTCGGGACCAGACAATCCAGTGATTGATATCATGGGCATCGATCCATGCAGTTGGTCACGATGACATGCCTCAATCAAGTCAGCGAGAGTGACCACCTGATCCTGTTAGTCGCCTCTTACGACAAGCACAGTCGCCTATTCTACCCCGGATCGTCACGAGTCTTATTCCTTTACATATAATGATGCACACAGAAGTATTTTCAGAAAATTGTTAATTACATTGACTGTGTCTGTTCTGCGCATATGGAACATAAAATATTTAATGTCATCCAATCCGTTTCCATAAGGGGAAATCGATCATATATTGCGTTACTACTCGCTCATCAGTGTTGATAGAGGCTGATAGCTGTTAAGAAGACAGAGATGGAGCCTGTGATCTTTTGGTTTCTCCAAGCGACCATCTGTACAACCAATGTGATACACGGTGAGTAGGACACATGTAATAACGCTTAGGTAATTTGGACGGGGGTAGGATAAGAGTCCTTTGGTGCCACTCGCAATATCAAATGTTAAAGTCACGGACATGTTTGACATATTGATATGAAAATTATTTGACATGTTCAAATGGTTGACAACCAGCCTGTTTTCGTTCTCACATTTGCACATTTTGGACTTTTGACATAAAAACACATAAGTTTGGTTAAAATGAATAGAAAGACCTATTTTTGAAAGTTCATAAGAAAATCTAAGTGTGAGCGCCTCAGTGACCCAATTCGTTTTCTGCTACGTGGTTGAACTGTTTTTATCTAAATCTCACATATCTACTTAGGTCAAACACTTGCTAAGATGTATGTTCAAATATTAAAAGAAGACAAAACGCTTCCTGAAAACCTTTAACATTAGAACTTAAAAACTGACACATTTTTGCTTTGGGTGAAGTCATTTAGTGTTGTCACAAAACCCGTCAAGATTCGGGTTAGACTATAGAGGCGGTTATGCTTGTCGCAAGAGGCAACTAACGGGATCGGGTAATCAGGCTCGCTGACCAGCCAATCCAGTGACTCACGTCATGAGCATCGATCCACGCAATGGGATACGATGACATGCATCAACCAAGTCAGCGAGCCTGAAAACCTGATTGGGTCGTTTGGTGACGAGTCACGTTTTTATGCTTCGCCGTTCGGATGGTAGACATCGTGTTTACTCAGCAATATTCCAGCTGTATGACGGCTGTCTGTAAATAATCGAGTCAGGATGAGACAATTCAGTGATTAATATCATGAGCATCGATCCACGCATTTGGGATCGATGACATGCATCAACCAAGTCAGCGAGCCTGACCACCCGATCCCGTTAGTCGCCTCTTACGACAAGTGTCGTCATCTAGTTGTGTGACGTATCCGAACTGTTTGTTGGTAGATCTGGTGATACTGTCAGTGATGCTAATTGGAAGTATTACAGTTTTTCAAGATAAAAACACTTGGTGAACTCTCTTGATTATTGTGAAGGGGGTATACATGTTGGTATAAAACATCATTGACTGACCTTAGTCTATTTAAATAATTCTTTTTGAATTTCGAGGTAGAATCGAGCATTCTCTTTCCACGAATATTTCCAAATTTGACAAAGATTAAGTCCCATGTAATTCCCTAATTTGACTTGTACCATATGTTCCCTTGTTTTTTTCAGGTGTGTGAGTGCTTTAAAATTTAAAGTCACATCGGCAGTATTTCAGCCATATCGTGATTTTCAAAGGTTATACATAATTAATACATGTAAACTATATAAAAAATGGCCTGTAAAGAAGTCTATACATAACAATTCATTATAAGAACGGGCTATAGATCGCCAGCAGGTGAAGGTAGATCACCATACTAGGGACTATGGGGACAGTCGACCAATTGTCATGCCTTTGCATGTGTTTGTGACGGCGCCAACGGTGGGGCGAACACATGGTATCATCACTATTTAATAGTGATTCATAAACACATGCCCATGATATAGTCAGAATCACACTATCGATATATTAGATATGGATGGTTTTTTGTCGCTTTATTAATGCACGTGTTGAAACCTAACATAGCGCAAAACAGTATCTTGAGGCCTACATCTATACTCACGGAAATAGGTAACGGCACTTCTCACAACTCATGGGAGAACATGATGGCAATTTGAATGGCTTATCGGGACGACGCGGTCATGTTCTGCGTTAGATTTGGTTTGGTTTGTTGTTAAACGCCCCACTCAGCAGTGTTCTAGCTATATGACGGCGGTCTGTAAATAATATTTGGAATCGATGACATGCATCAACCAAGTCAGCGAGCTTGACCACCCGATCTCTTTAGTCGCCTCTTACGACAAGCATAGTCGCCTTTAACGGCAAGCAGAATTGCTGAAGACGTATTCTACCTCGGATCTTTACGTGTCTCTGCCGTTTGATCACATGCAGGGACGTGACGTCACGTTGCAGTGGGATATTGCCCGCCCACATGTTGCACATGTTGTGGCAGACTTACTGCGGCAGCTCGACTTTACTGTTTCCCCATATCTCTCTCCCCACGGAATACGTATGAGGTGAGAAGGAATGACGCCTCCGACGGGACCACAACCAGCCGGTAACGCCCTCTCAGTTGAGCCAATCTATGGTTGACATTTAGCACGACATCCCCCAGGCTGGTTTCAGTCATCTGGTGTCTTCAATGCACCGCCGCCACCACGCCTGTATCGACGCAAATGGTGGTCATACGCGATATTTATATTTTTAGGGCGCCTCGCTCTGGCTCCAATTACCAGATATGGCTTTTGTCAATGCATTTGTTGTGATGACACATCAGACAAATGGCCACATATTATGTTGTTAGCTGAGCTTATGCCATACCGTGGCGTCCGTCGTCCGCCCGTCAGCAATTTATTCAAACGACTTCTTCTTCTAAACCACTGAATGGAAAATAACGAAATTTGACTGGAAGCATCCCTAGGTGGTGAGAATTAACACAATTGTACAACTGGCGGGACTGACTCCCCAAGGGGCTGAGGGGGCGGGGCCAAATGGGAGCAATTTGGCAATATTGCTCTTGCTAAATGACTTCTTCTCTGGAACTTAGAGATAGATATCAACCATATTTGGATGGAAGTATCCCTAGGTGTAGGGGATTCAGAATTATACAAAACCTGGGGCTGACTCACCCAGGGTCTGACGGGCGGTGCTAAAAAGGTTATTGCTTTAAAACACTTTTTTTCCTTGAACTAGGAGATGGACATCAACCATATTTGGTTGGAAGTATTCTCAGATGGTGGGAATCCACAAGTGTACAAATGGAGCGGCTGAGGGGCGGGGCAAAATAGGGTTTATAACTTGGACACAGTTAAGATCCCCACCGTATAACCATATGTACAGTTGCTGAGTACCGTATAATGAGAGGAATGCATATATGTTACCAGGACTGGCCCTTCTGTTCATTTGTCTGGCACTCCCAAAGGAGTTAGAACCTTGACCATAACATGTAAACCGATATTATCCCCACTCTATAATAAACAGATACATTGTAAATACATTTGTTTGTTATGAAGAGAATAATACATTTATGCCAATATAATTCGTCTGGGGTCCAGCCTTGCCTCTGGACACTTAGATCCTGGATCGTAACATGGAAACGGTTCCGACCTTAATGCTACATTTGTATCTGGAGAAGTACATGTTCATGCTGTCAGATTTGCTATCCACCTATTTTAAATGCTGACACGATTACGAAATATGTGCAGTATTATACACATGTACAATGTAAATGTATATTTTGTCATGATTGCGTAAATATCTAGGTGAACGATGTTTTAAATAACATAACAGTTACACCCCTTTATATATGAAACACAGTTACTCTTCCGCTAGGATATATTAACCCGCATTGTTTACCTCAAAAGCTATGTTATCTCATATTGGTCTATTACGCCGTAATTCAGTGTATGGAGTTGCCTCCCTTTGCCATTGCAGCGATCCACTAACCCCATATTCACTCCGATTAAAATATTTTGATCTGCCAGCATCCAGTGGTGTTCATAAAACCCGTTCGGATTCCTGGTAATGTCCTAGCATCCAAATTGCGTGGATTCCTGCTCATGATGACAATCACTGGATTGTCTGGTCCATACGCGATAATTTACAGTGTGGCGTCATATAGCTGGAGTGCCGCGTTAAACAACAAACAATATGTCATAGTATGAAAGCCCAATTTACTCACTTACTTGATTTATGTTTTCAGTCAACTCCTTCTCGAACGTGGCTTTACACAAGCCAGCAAGTCAGGACTCCTTCCGTGAACCGTTTCCACCATCTGCAGCTGTGGATGGAGATGATACTACTTTCATTCACTCGGACAGGGCAGTACCCTATCACTGGTGGGAAGTGGATCTCCTTAACTCCTACACTATACCCAATGTCACCATCACCAGCAGAGATTGCTGTGGTAAGTATGCAGAATATTTTGCCTTGAATAGACTGATGCTGTTGGTATCACGAAATAGTGATAGTTTCATCAGAACAGACGGATGTTGTAGGCATCAAGAAATAGTAAATAGTGATAATTTCACCTGAACAGTGAGTGAGTGTGTTGGTTTTAACTCCGCTTTTAACAGTATTTTCAGTTATATCACAGCGTTCACATGAACACAAGGATGTTGTAGGCATCAAGAAATAATACATAGTGATAGATTCACCTGAACAGACGGATGTTGTAGGCATCAAGAAATAATACATAGTGATAGATTCACCTGAACAGACGTATGTTGTAGGCATCAAGAAATAGTAAACAGTGATAGTTTCACCTGAACAGACCTGTAAGGAGTAATTTCGTGAAAGAGTTTATGCATATTTCAGTTAGTTTTTGTACACACTGCCCGGGTTGGACTTGCTTCAAAGTAATCTATCCATGTAGGGGTCGACCAAAACCGGCTTAACAGTCTCGTCGACTTGGTTGATTGCGTGCCATCGTACCTCTACAGCGTGGGGAGTTCCTCATTATATCAACCACTGTTACGTTCAGCCTAGACTCATTTTTTTACAGGCTGAAATGATATAAATATATAGAAAAAAATATTGCTTCCGCATAAAAAAAACAAAAAAGATGCTTCAACAATAATCCTTATCTCTTCTCCAGCAGGCCTCGCTCGTACAATTGACCTCACATCTGACTGTCACGCAACTTTGTCACTACCACCCGGGGAGTTTCACCCAATTTTGCCATTTTTTGGGGTATCATGTGGGTATTTCATCTGTTGTGCGTTGTTTTCTTGATCAGTACCTCTTCTCGAGATATTCGGTTCAGCAACTTCACTACTGTGCACTGAAACAGCTGAAACATAGGTGCAAAAGAAGAAACATTCAAAGAGGATACTTCAGTTTTGCTTGTGTTAATCATTATTTCTTCTCCAGGTAGCCGATTCCGTAACTTTACAATTGACCTCACATCTGATCACCTGCCCTCAGCACAAGTCACGCGACTTTGTCACTACTACCCGGGAAGTTTTACCCAATTCGCAACCCGCACCATAGCATGTGATGAGACATTTACAGCACGAAAGGTCAAGGTCACTACAGATTCATCTGACGGGCGACCTCTTGATATAAGCGAGGTCAAGGTCAAAGGTCTTCACGTGTGTGGAAGTAAGGTTCTAAAGATTCTGCTGAAGCATGATACACTCTATTATGCATCAGCTTTCAGACAAAAACAAAACAAAAGCTACTTTTTAAAGGTTTCCCATTATATTTTTCTTTTATAAAAGTAGGTAGTATCGTATCTTGGTCACAGCAACTTCCAAGTGACGGAAAGAAAGAATAACGAATATCTTCAAACATCAATAATCCATATCGCTATATAGCTGAAAAAATGCCGATGCGACGGTAACTCACTCAATAATCCATAGTTATTATAATTTTCAACGTTGATGTGAATGACCAATCATTTTATATTCTTAATGGTGCCGGAAGTTTCCCTTTTAAAAAATCTGTACCGGATAATGCTGGAAAAAGTACTTGACCTAACATCAATGGATATGCTGGATGTCCTGGAAGAAATATTGAGATATGGTTAAAACTCCTTTCAGAAAGAGAAGTGCGTATCTTGAGGCAATGGGTGTCCTTAAAAACTGAAATCCCAGCAACCCAACTTTTTATCGAGAGACTTTCATGCTTTTATGCATGTTAGTTTACCTTTCTTTTTGTTACATCGTCTCTAGATCACTGGCTGCAATTTACATTGAATGCTGACACAAAACGCTCGGAAGCCCCACTACACCAGGTCCAGGTGGAATCCACACTGGCATGTGCCCAACGCTGCCGGGAAGATATAGATTGTGACGCCTTTCAGACACTGGCGTCATCTAGTAATGTGACCTGTCAACTGTTTGTTGGTAGATCTGGTGACACTGTCAGTGATGCTAATTGGAAGTATTACAGTTTTTCAGGATAAAAACACTTAGTGAACCCTCTTGGTTATTATCTCCCGCCACGTAGTGGAAAGGGGATATAGGAATGGGTACTGTCCGATCGTCCTTCCGTCCTTCCGTCCATCTGTCGCGTTTCCGGAGCAGAATTAAAAAAAACATTGAGAGATATCTTTACCAAACTTGGCACATAGATAGGTCTAGCGGTGAACTGGTGCCTTTTGATAGTTTTGGATTTAGGCTGAAAACACCGGTAGTGTTTCGTTTCTTGAAAACCTTACAATATTTCTTGCCTTGCAACACTACCAGACATGTCATAATGGCGGGGGATATGAATATTTCATGCTTGTTGATTGTGGGGTTACACATTTTAGTATATAACATCACTAACTGACCTTAGCTTTTTTAAGTAATTTCTTTTTGAATTTCGAGGTAGAATCTAGCATTCTGTTTCTACGAAGATTTCAAATATCGTCATGCGACTGCTAAAGATGTTTTACCAGGGTTACAACATTCAAACCTCAGTAAAGCTTTCAAACAGTTTTGTGGTAGACATGTGGAGACATTTTAAAATTTGATGCATTAGTGAATGCAATTCACTAATATGTTCCCGTGTTATTTCAGGTGAACAATTGACTTGCCTTTCTATGTATGTGTTTGCCACCGGGAGCCACCGGATGATTATCATTTCTTGAACACCTGGTATCATCACTATTTGATAGTGATTCATAATACATGTAGCATGGCACTTTAGTGAGAGATGGTGTTTGACAGGAGTTTATGTAAAGTTTTTTGTATTCCCTGAGTTAAAAAGGTGAACATATATACATACACTCCGGATGAGACTCAACCCCAAAAAGTACGAGAATCTGTACTTTACTCAGAAAGTGTTATGCCAAATATAACATTTGTTGCATTTGACCACTTTCTAAATGGCATTGTGTCTTTATATACATACATAATCACAGTGCTTTAAACCACTTAGATAGCGGAGCTCGGTTGACGACCATGGACATGAGCACATAGTCATGTCAGCTGCCTATCATTAACCTTAGAGTGTGGCTGGCTGGCCACTGAAGCTGGACATTGTGAACACGGTGCGGGATAATGTAGATTGACGATGTAACGTAACACGGCAGTGGCAGTCTGGCAGTGATTCTCCTGAGTGTTAAACATAGAATGCTTTCTGTAAGTCGGAACTTGACCCTCAGACAGACTTGTCCTGCATGTTGGCAGGACGCCTCCAAGATATCGTCTGGTCATACCTGTCTTGCTACCATTATGTAAGCATGGATAAGATGTATGGATGAACAACTTCTTTATTACAATGAGGAGCGACTTTTCGGTGTAGGCTCTAACACCGTTAATAAACAAGTTCATCCTTTTATCTTATCCTTACTTAGTACTCCAACTTCTAAATGCCTCTCAAAGATGTTAACATTATGTACCTGTATTTGTTAAATTACGAATAAAGTGTTGTGGACCCACTGATGGTCTCTTTTGTTTGAGAACAGATATCCAAACAATTTAGCTCAGAGTACATGCTTATGATAAAGTTGGAATCGTTTAATGTACACTGCTTTCAGCAGACATTTCTTATGATTATGGAAAGGGTTTTGTACAATTTGTTTTATAACAACAGTGATAAGTTTACATGAACAAACTCAACCGTGTTGGATTTCTTCCCACACTAAGCTACAAAATATAATGAATCAATTAACGGTCATGTCCAAATTAAGATTGACATGACAAACAGCACATGAACAATGAGTGCAAACATTCTTTCAGAAACACCAATCTTAATAGATGATTAAATCCTCGGATGAGAGGTCCGTGTATCGAACCGTACAGAATTAATACTGCGCCAAGCAACTTAATACCATAACGTTATCATATTAACTAGATGCACAAAAGATGTATTAAAAAGTAGATATTGATTAATCAGACATACGTTGACTGTTTATGATTTAAACATAGCGTGTTCGAGTACAAAAAGTGTTTGACACAAGTGTTTGATACAATGCTATTGATGCCGTTGACTAACACAACACAACCACAATTGAATGCGCCGCACCATACCCGTCCTCGTGAATTTCACAAAAATGGTGAACCACAAGCCAAAGCGCTGTGATATGACCAGGATTCTGTTCAAAGAGGTGTTGAACATCCTGTCGCAGACACGTCAGCAAGCCTGACCACCTGATCTCGTTAGTCGCCTCTCACGAAAAGTATAGTCGCTTTTTACGGCAACCATGGGCTGCTGAATCCCTATTCTACCCCGGGTCATAGGACTATGCCACTTATGTATATTCATCGTTAAAATATGTGACACAACGCACCATCGCCTAATAGAGGAAACACATAAGAGAATATTAGCACTATCGATCTAGCAAGACGTCATATGCCAAGTTAAAAATCTAATACATAGGGCAGAGACGACGAAATAGTGATAGTTTCACCTGAACAGACGGATGTTATAGGCATCAAGAAATAGTAAACAGTGTTAGTTTCACCTGAAAAGACGGATGTTGTCGATCTAAGACGTCATATGCCAAGTTAAAACTCTAATACATAGGGCAGAGACGACCATTCTATGTGAGAGAATACAGAAACTAATACTGACGCCTCTGCCGCTATCTACCCTAGTCCTGCCCTGTCCCATGCGTCGTCAGCTATACTCTGACAAACAAAGGTCATGTGTCCGAACCTCATAGTTGGTTTGTTGGTTGGTTTGTTGTTTAACGCCGCACTCAGCAATATTCCAGCTATATGACGGCGGTCTGTAAATAATCGAGTCTGGACCAGACAATCCAGTGATTGGGGTGGATGACATGCATCAGCCAAGCCAGCAAGACTGACCACCCGGCCCCGTTAGTCGCATAGTCATAGTCGCCTTCTATGGCAAACATGGGTTGCTGAAGAACTATTCTACCCCAGATCTTCACGGGTCCGAAACTCATAGTGAAGACACTATGTTTTTCGTGTTATACACTCAGTGTCGAAATATTTCCAGGAGTGTAGAAACTACTTGACCATGGCCAAAAGGCAGTGTAGACATATACTAGTATATTATCGACAAAAAGCTATGGAACTAATGATCTGAATGTAGCTTTCGTTGAGGCAACATCAAATCACAATGAAATTTCACTTCATGCATGTACAGTACGTCGATAGCATGCTCGACTGTACCTCAAAAGTAATTTAATGTAAACACCAAAGAATGCTTAGGGGAAAACAAACACAGATGTAGGTGATCCGTTGCTTGGTATTGCCAGTTGAAGGAGGTTTTCATTTGAAAAATGAAATTCTTCACATCAATTGCCCTGCGTGTCAGTCCATTGACACTGGATTGATGACACGGTCTTTCGTGACGCAGTTCAATGCGATCATTCTCGATCAGTTAATGTGCACCTTGTAACACCTGTAACAGGGGCAACCATTAAAATATTAGATAATATTTCGTACGCAGTTGTATAATAACGTGGTACATATTTGCACAATATAAAATCATTTTTCGACCAGTGGGTCCAATAAATAAATTTATAGGAGAACGCAAAGTTAATGAAAAAAATAAATTCCATCGCAAGAACATTCACTTTTTTGTTGTCCAATCATGTGATTTGTCCCAAACAGGGTCTTCACCCTCTGAGTACAGGCTTTCATATTTTCATACCTATTCTGTTCATTTTCAGAAATTATTGATCATGTAAACTTCTTATCAAAACTATGATACCTTTGTGTGTACTTGCGAAGTTTTTACGTTTGATACCTAATTCTTCTTACAGGTCCAGGTTTTCTAAAACAAATACATACCCCTCATATCCCCAGGGCAAAAGATGTTTGAATCCAGTATCTCTGAGAATGGTAAAATTGTACACATTCCTTTCTTTATGGAAAGTGTTTAAATAAAGTATGTGTTATGATTAGAAAAAAGTTAACTTTGTTGATTGGCAGTTATGAGCTTCAACGTTCTATACAAACTGACGACCAAAAGAAACTTTACCACATTAAAAATGAAATTACAAAAGTTCAAGCAATATCAATGCAAAATGCATCGTCCAAACACATCATTGCTTAATGCAGAGAGTGATACCCGTAAACGACAAAAGTGAAAAACACGCGCCCGCTTGGGCAGTCTAAACTACACGTGCAATAAGAGTATATAAATAATACGGACACTCAAACTGATAAAAAAAAAACACCACAGAAACGCCACGACAGATACCCTAACAACTCGAGCTGGCCATGGCTATGATGCAGATGGAAGCCACCCATCTCTACATTGCTGGAACTTTTGGTTGCTTGTTGCTTAGTCAGATCAGGCAGACATCAGGCAGGCCAAGAACAGGCAGACCCAGGGTAACTACGCCCAATGAAGAGCAGTACTTGTGTACTTTGCATCTGCCGAATCGATTTCTGACAGTGACGTCATCAGGGACGAATGTCTTAGTGCATATGGTTAGTAGACAGCCAGTGGCCAGGAGACTCGGGACTCAGGGAATTAGGGCTTACAGATATTACAGAGGACAGTTATTGACAGCGCAACATCGTCGTCAGAGATTGAGATAGGTCCGGATTGTACGTCGTTTACAGCGACGTGAATGGCCTTTACTGATGACTGTCGCTTCTATCGTAACTGAGTTGATGGAAGACAGCGTGTTTACCGCCGAAGGGGAGAACGAGTGGCGGCTGGTCGTTCAGGAGGTCGTGCAACATGCGTGGGAAGGAATTTGTGGGCAGGGGAGAACACCACTGGTCATCGTTAACGGAATTTAACGGCTCTGCGTTACATGGATGAAATTCTTCGTCCGATTGTTTAACCATTTCAGCTACAGCTGCCGCTTGGTGTCCATTATCAGCATGACAACGCCAGACCCCATACAGCCCGAATCGTACTGAGCGTCCTTTGCAGCCAACAACGTCAACGTTTTGCCGTTGCATGCACGCTCCCCAGAACACCCTATAGAACACCTCTGGGATGTCATGGATCGCCGTGTTCGACAGCGACAACATCCTCCAGCCAACCAACAAGAAGTCATCGATCCCAGGCAATCCAAGAAGAATGGCGATGTAACCCACGTGACGTCATTAATCGACTGGCTTTTATGTCCGCGGGAGAGCTTTTGTCTGTCTTGTACACGATATTAGTATGACGTGTCATTGAAACTGAACGATTTTAGACGGTGTGCCCTTTGTCCATTTACATTGAAAGCTTGTTTTTGCTACCCTACCTCAATTCGGACAACTGCTATGCCAATATCGGATGCTATATGACTGTCATTTTAACTGTTTATTTTCATTGAGATTTTGATGTTTTCAATACATTTTACATCATGCATCTATCTTTCGAAGTTTTTAAATTCTTATGATCTAAAAGTAAGATCAAATGTTTGACTGTCTGATTAGTTGTTGATGTTGAATACTGTCTGTGTTGTATGTAACCGAATTACCTCTCGCCTGCTCCAGTAGTCATAGAACGGCTGTCATGGTCTTGGGTAGGATTACCATCCGATTAGTACTACCAGAACTATTTAGTTAGACATGCTGTGGGGGCTTATTTCAGTGTTTGTTGATTTAGTAGGAGGTTACTATAGGTTTACTCGTCTGTTCATAAAAGAAACCCTGTCTGACTTTCTTTTTCTTTGTTTTCGTGTGAAAGCATGTAGTTCCCTGTCATCTCAGTTGAGATAACACATCATATACTGTTTTTGTTTTTCTTTAATTATTAAAGATAAATACCATGCATATGTATATATGTTGTGTGTATGCTCCGTATGCAGACCAAAGTCAAGGATACATGCCTAGCCAGATCAATAATGGCATTAATAAGAAGAAAGACCGATATTCAAATTATTTTCCTACCAAAATATCAATTAGGTACATGGCGTAATTAGTTTATTGAATCGATTTTAAGGGGAGCAGGGGTGCCGAATCCTTTTCTTTCTTCATGGCTCAACAACAATCTGGTTCATCTCGAAATGAAAAAAATAGACGTCTAGAGGAAATTGATATATCAACTGGAAATATTTCTCAAAATACTGCTTCCTGGGTTAAATCCCTGGTGATCGAGGCTGCTGATAACCTCCCAATCAAATCCTTTTGCTATTTCTAAGACTGTTTCTGGGATTTGTGGTGAGGTCAAGATCGTCACCTGTCTCCGTAGCGGTTCGCTTCTGATGCACGGAGTCAGCAATCTCTCAATCTTTTATCTATCTCTACTTTTCAATTTTCTATTTTCAATTGAGGTTGCTGTGTCTGTGCACAGAACATTAAGTTCTTGTCGAGGCATTGTTCGTATATCATTCCTTCTCTCCGGGCGATAAAGCTACTGGAAGTACTTCTATTTTGGTGCGGCGGGGCGTTGTTCATATTCCTGTTCCACTTAACACAAATCTGCAAGCAGTTGCAATTAGATTTACACTGCATATTGCCTTCACACTTTGCTCCTTATACATTCCCCTTTCTTCAAGTCTTCAGC